TGGCAACTCAAAATCGCTCACTATCATTCCCAAGAAGCCAAGAATATTCACAGATAATAAAGGAACCGAAGCTGTAGAGAGCCATGGTTGCCTACGTCAAAGCATTAAAAAAACAAATCGAGTAATTATAAAAACTTAAATATCAATTATGTGTTTTGAAAGAGAGCGGAAAAAGCGACATCGAAATCAGCAGTGAAATAGCGAAAGATACCTTCCGAAAGCTAAGCAAAGTATTAAGTAACAGGAAACGAATGCTGAATTGTTATGTAATATCAGTCCTCCTATATGGCAGTGATTGCTGGACCATCTCATCACAGATGAAGAAGAGAATTGAGACAGCAAAAATGTAATTCTAGAGATGTATGCTTAAGAAGTTTTAGGGAAAAAGAAAACAAAAAGTTCACATACCAAAATTCAAATCCAAAAGTGACGATTGAAATTTCTAGGGAACATAATAAGGAAAGAGGGCTTGGAGAATTTGACACTCACAGGCCATATTTGAAGGCAAGAGAAACAAAGGAAATCTGCGCATAACCTAACGATCTTGCGTACAGAATATGGGTTAGGAGAGATGGCAGAAAGACAAAACTTACTAAGAGCTACAAAAGACAGGAATCTGTGGAGAGCGTTGATCCCCTACGTCCTGAATGAACATGGCAAAAAGGAGATGAAAAAGCATATTTCATGAACGGAACTAATATATACTTATAATTCCAATATACTATTAATAAATGATGATATGTACAGTATGCAATGGTAAATTGTCGCCATTTTATATTTTTATTTCGGGTATACGTGTTGTTTGTTTGTTTTTTATTTCGTCAACTGCACAGTATGGTAGTGTCAGTTGGGCCCCGTCTATGAGAAAAAGAGCACCATAACGCAATTCACTCTGCCAGAAAGTTGTAAAAGGCATGCTGTGCTGCATGGCATTTGCACCTGAAGCTCCATTACGAACATTTCAGAGTGTTATATTGCAGAGGATACGGAAAGAGTTGGATGGGTCTAATGGTGATTACGAAGGTATGGCATCTCGAAAAACTCACTCTGACCATTCTCATAAGAAAAGAACTCCCCAATTTCTTGATGAGGGCCTCAGACACAATACGGAGGCCTACATAAAGTGACCTGAGGATGTAGTGTTTCCCTGGGTCAAGAGGGTAGCTGCTGGAAGATCTTATTTCTGGCAACAGGACTCAACACGATGACACACAAGCAGAAGAACCCAGACATGGCTGTCAGACAATATCTAAGATAGCATCGCCGCTTACACGTGGCCAACTCTCTAGACTGCAACCACTTTGATTACTATGTGTGGGGCGCAGTTGAGTGCGATGATTGAAACCAATGGCGATTTTATTGAATGAATTTACTTTTACTATTTCAAGATATTTTTTGTGTCATTTTGATGAATATATTTGTTAAAATGAGATGTCAAGATTATTTGCATTTTTTTTGTGCGTCATTTAGACGACAATTTATCCATCGCACCCTGTATATAGAGAGTGGACATAGGAATCAACACTGCATGGTTAATGTCAGTTTTATTCATGCTGATTGGGTGGTTAGAGGAAGTGTGTATATACATCTTGAAGCGTGAAACTAGCAGTCACCATACATTGTTGAATCCTAAGACCACATTGTCTATATTCATAAATAGTATATCTTCAATATTGAACACCCTTTCCCTAAAAATACATCAAGTTTTCAACAATATATATGCGTGATATTTCGTCAAAGGTGAAAATTGATGTGTACAAGTCAGTAGTACTGACATCACTACTCTATGGTGCAGAATCTTGGACTGTGTACTGACGACACATCAATCAACCTGGTGTCATCTACATGCGTTACCCACATACAATCGACAACAGGAAACTGGGTGATCGCATTAGAAACACTGAAGTTCTCAGTAAATGCAACATGACGAGTATTGAAGCCATCATAATGGAAATTCAACTCAAGTAGACAGGATATAAAGGTGTTCGAATAATTTGGACCGATTTTAAATGTGAATTAAGTTTAAGTATCCAATGATTTTTTTCATTTTTTTTTTTTCAGATTTAACAATTTAAGTCTTTGGCAATTTCAACTATGGAAGGATGAACAATCAAACTACGTGTTAAAATTTCAAGAGTGCAATTGAAAAAATTATTCGTAAATTCAAACAAACTGGGTCGGTGGCAGATGTGAAAACACTATTGCCTGCTCATTTACGCCGTTCAGTTGAATACATTGCTGCAGTGCACGAGAATGTGGCCGAAAATCCAGACACTTCTATTCGTCATTGCGAGCAGGAATTGAAACTCTCCACAACAACGTTACATCGTTTCCAATTGGATTCTCGGTTGGTCGATTATGTTGATCAAAAAAAATTGCGAAGTACGCAAAATGCATTTCTATTTGAACGTCCATTTTCGAAATAGGCTTCGATATCTTTAACACATTGTTAATCTTTCCATTGTTAAAATTGCTAAAAACTTAATTTGTTAAATTTAAAAGAAAAAAAATCATTAGACGCTTCAACTTAATTCACATTTAAAATCGGTCCAATTTACTGGAACATCCTATATTTCTCTAGATGACTTCCAAAACCTCTCATCGACCAGCCGGTCATTTGGAAGGCCATTTTTGTGTTATAAAGACAAACTCAAAGACAATCTGAAGCGATGCATCATCCCCTTTTCTTCCAAGGAAAACAAAGCATCAAAGCGAAGGAGTTGCGCGCCTGTCCTGCTTTTCATCTATATAAAGGTTTTGAGCGAGGCCGATTTGAATATCGGGATCAACAGCATGAAAATATTAAAGAAAGTTGGCAGCATGCTGCTCCTCTCAATGATAGCCTTTTGCCTGCCACTGTAGCTTTGTCACATGCAGTAAAACAGACCTTGCTGTCCACTCGTGGAAACATGTGGCAATTGATCCTCGACCATTCGAACAAAATGGCTCATCCACGTGTTTCATTTGTCTAAAAGTTTTCAAAACCCCTACAGGTTTTGGAAGATACATGCGTCTTCATAAAAGTTGAACAGCTCTTTATTTTAGTGATCCTTCATTTGTCCTCCATGACGAGAGAGTCTACCACATATATAGTATTTAATAAGATTGACACGGGATATTTTTAGTCAATTTCTCTTGTCTCTTTAGAGAGGAACAAATAGTTGGTTCAATAGCGTACAGAATTTGTTCATAGTTTTATAATTGGTTCTTGTGCTATCGGCCATTTTCAGGCAGCTGTCTGAAATGTGTATACTATTTGCCAGAAAGAGGTGAGATTTTAAAATCAGGAAAAGGGAAAAATCGTTTTCCGAATAGTGTTATACATCACGAAATATTGAGAAAGAAATACGAAATAGATTTCCAAATGGTGTAATACTTCAAGAAATACTAATAAAGAAATTTCTGAACGGGAATACCAGATACTGTAAGATTGGGTGCACGATTAGTAATGGATTATGGCTCGGAATTGTTAATCTGAGAGCCGAGTTCCAATTCCAGTTGGGTTCGTTATGTTTACTTACGCGCAAATACATGTGTGAAAGATATGAATCTACCCCTTCTTCCCTCAGCTATGGGTTAATTAAGTCATTTTTATCTCTCTACCCCACTAAAAATAATTCTTACAATCTAAAAATATGTCCTGGCTTTAAATAACTTGAAACCGTATAAAACTAATCAATCAATCATTATTTCCGAACGGCGTTAAACATAAACACTGAAAAAGAAATTGGAAACTGTTTTCCGAACTGTACCATACTTTACGAAATAATGAAAAAAAGAAATGTGACATTTTTTTCAGAATCATACATCACGAAACACTGGAAAAAAAATGAGAAATTGTTTTCTTAACTCTCATACTTCACAAAATAATGAAGAAATGGATGCGAAATTGTTTCCCTAACTGCGTCATAGTAATTGTAATTTTTTCCGAAAGTCATATTTCATGAAATATTGAAAAATGAATGTGAATTTTTTTCTTTCCAAAATGTGTCAGACTTCACAAAATCTTGAAAAAAAGAATTGGAAATTGTTTTCCAAACAGTGTCATACTTCACAAAATGAATGAAATAGGTAATTTTTCCTAACGGTGACATACTTCTCGAAATATTTAAAAAAAAAAACAATAGGAAATTGTTTTCTAAGTTTTCTACACGATATATTAAAAAAGAAATGAAAAATTGTTTTCCGAACAGTGTTATACTTCACGAATAATTAAATAACAAATAACAAATTGTTTACTTAACGATGCCATATTTCACAAAATATCGAAAATGAAATGGGAATTTGTTTTCCTAACGGTGCCATACTCTCTTAATATTGTACAAGAAAATGGAATTTTTTTCAGAACTGTCTCATACTTCACGAAAAATTAAACAAAAAATGGGGAATTGTTTTCTTAAAGGTGATTTTTTCGAAATATTGCAAAAAGGAACACAGAATTGTTTTCCGATGCTTGAGGAAATATCTACAAAAATGTGTGTATTTTTTTGTAAAACGCAAATGACATATATATATGCATTCCGTTGAGTAAAGTTAGCATTTTGGTAAGATAGTCAACGTCAAATTAAATAAGATGGCGATTGTATTGGCTTAATATTCAAAGTAGATAGGGCCGTTCTGTTTAAAAAAAAAAAAAAAAAAAACAGTATTCGAAATCCTGACTTGGCCATGAATGCTTGCACTGACATCGGCGAAAAAGTCACTTTCGGTCACTTCAGGACTGGAACCAAAGTGAATATCGTATATATTCCAGGCTTTCGAATAAATAAAGGGAAACTTTTCAAAAGAAGGAAAAAAAGAAAGAAAAATTATAGAAGAAAGTATGTTATAGTAGAAAGAAAAAGAGTTAGAATAGAAAGTTAAAAAAAAAGCATAGAAGAAAGAAAGAAAGTACAATTAAATGATTCAGAAAGAAAGAAAGAAAGAAAGAAAGAAAGAAAGAAAGAAAGAAAGAGTTATATTAATTTGAAAGATTTAAAGTAGAAAGGAGAAAGAAAGAGTTATAGTAAAAAATAAATAAATAAAGTGTTATAATAGAAAGACAGACAATGAAAGAAAGATAAAACAAATAAATAATTGAGAAAGATAAAGCAAGTAAATAACTAGGAATGAAAGAAAGAGTTATATTAAATTGAAAATGTATAGTAGAAAGATGAAAGCACAATTAAATACTTGGGGGAAAAAAGAGAAAAATTAGAGTCGAAAGAACGGAGAAAACAAAGAAAAGTAACAAGGAATTATGACAGAAAGTATTATATTAGAAAGAAAGAAAGAAAGAAAGAAAGAAAGAAAGAAAGAAAGGAAAAGATTTTTTTAAATTATTTCAGTACATATAAGACATCTAAACCGTGTTTAACCATTCAAAAGAGGAAGAAACATTATCGTTGAAAACAGTGTCAATTATTTGTGTGTAAGCGCCGCTGAATAATTATACCAGCTGATTGTAAATTAGATGTGCGTGCATGTGTGTGTGCGCGCGTGTTTGTATATGCGTGCGTGTAAGTATGTTTGTATGTGCATGTTTTGTGTATGTATATTTTCTGTGTGTGTGTGTGTGTGTGTGTGTGTGTGTGTATGTTTTGTATGTGTGCATGCGTGCGTGCGTGCTTGTTTTATATATGGCCCTTAATTTGAGAGAGAGGAGTTTGACATGCTAAGCTCCTCCCCTTTAAACATGAACACATGTCTAATGTATTCTAATTCTGAAGTATTTTAATTGTTTCGAATATGAATGGTCTCCTTTCAATTCCTAAAATTATGTCAATGACCCTATTTGTTATGAACACAGGGAAATATAAAGTTTCTGGGTTCTGAAATTTACACAAGGAACAACGAATTCAAAAAATCACGAGAATGCTTCATAGATAGCTAGATAGATAGATACAGACAGACTGAGCTAGCTAGCTAGCTAGATACGAACAGACTAAGATAGATAGATAGATAGATAGATAGATAGATAGATAGATAGATAGATAGATAGATACGAACAGACTGAGATAGATAGATAGATAGATAGATAGATAGATAGATAGATAGATAGATAGATAGATAGATAGAAATGAATGAATGAATTGGCTTTTTACGGGTAACTTTTTAAAATCGCTTTTTTGTGCGTACTTCCAGCAAATATTATTTTTATTTATATATTTCCCATCACAAATATAATCCCACCTTTTTAATGTTTATTGAAATCACTTTTTTTATTGCACAGATTATAATTCCATAATGCTGTACCTTGCAGGGAACTTATTTTATCAACTATTTTATAACTGTTCTTTTCTTCTTATTAGCTACTGTTATCATACACCGTACTGGAATAGTAAAGCGTATTTTTTCTTTAATGTTGCATGTCGAAAACTTGAAACAATATTTATCAATGCTTTCAAAAGAAATTACAATATTTTTTTACATTTCTTTTTCTTTCGAAATTCCAAGAATGCCGTCAGTTACCGCACGTTTAAATCTACATCAAAAATAACATAAATGATAAAAGAAAAGAAAATTAGTAAACTCTAATTTTCCTTTTCTTTTTTTTAAGGAAATTTTGTTTATAAAAATCGAGAATGAATAGGATTCAGGTTCGATGGCCCAATTATATTGCCGTTACGAATTTCCTGCTATACCATTACGTCTGAATTCCAGACATAAATTTCGACAGACAATTCCATCAATATTATTATTATTATTATTATTATTATATGTTATGTTTCTTGCTTTGTATCTTTTAGAGCCGGGTCCGAACTATGGTCGTTAGGCCCTATAGGAGAATTGTCATTTAATTGATAACAGTTTTCTTAGTATATGGGATGTTCCTAGTAGGACGATCTTCTGGGCAACTTATATGTTGATGCTACCTGGGACACTGTTAGTAAAATTGTCCATTCCTTTTCTCACGACGCCCAGTGCTCCGATTACTATTGGTACAGTCTCAGTCTTCATTCCCCGCATCCTGTTAATCTCGATCTCCAGGTCCTTGTAGTTCGACAATTTATCGATAATTTTTTTTGAGGTATTTCTCTCAAATGTTATGTCAATAAGCATACACTTCCTGAATTTCTTGTCTTTTATGATATTATTATTATTATTATTATTATTATTATTATTATTATTATTATTATTTCTTGCTTTCCTCATATTCTGTTTGTTTTATTGACCTTAATAAAGCGAGAGAGTTATTCTGGGTATCTGACCAGTGCTCATGAGTATAGACTTTTAAATCTATATTATTATTTCCTTTGATTTTTTGTTGTATACTAATTTCCTTCCGGGTCCCAACCAGGGACCTAAGGTCAGAAATGGAATCATGACATTTTCAATGAATATTTTCGTAAAAAAAATGACAATCTAAGATCACACACATTTTACATAGATAAAGCCCTTCGTAAGGTGTTGGCTGTACTTATGAGGATATATTTTATTATATTTCTTTAAGGCATGGGCTACCAGGGATCCCATCATTGAGTCTATCGGAACCTATTATTATTATTAGTAATTTTATTATTAGTAATAGTAGTAATTACAGATTGTTGCTTTATAAAGGAACGTGTTCCTTAAGCGGAAGCATATGTTTTTAGGGAGATCGAGAGGGGATGGCATAGTGATGATATTTCATTAAACTGTTATTGTTACGAAACTTTACATTGAAGCCTTAAATAATAAAAAAAAATTGTATGTTGTTATTGCTATTGTTGTTCTTGTTTCCTACCATTTCCTTTTCCACTCCACCTTTTTCTCCAGATGGCCCCAAAAATCTGACTTCCAACTTAAAGTTTACCTGCTGGCTAAAGTAGTTGCATGGTTTTTTATTGTGCCTTTTGTTGTCGTCTTTTGCGGACTGCGGGGAAATCCAAGATTTTCAATAGGTTTCACTTCGATAACCACACTAATACTTCATATCTAATACAGCTCTCTAGCAAGGTCCTTGTAATAGACGAAGTAATGACTTCGATCCTCACTAAGTGCTGCATACAAAATTTGGCATAAAAAAGAACGGCAACCAACATCTTTTATTATTATTATTATTATTAGTAGTAGTAGTAGTATGATTATTATTACTAATAGAAATAGTATTACTACTAGTAGTAATATTAGTACTAGTTGTTTTGGATGTGCTGGTAGTGTAATAACTATCAGCGCAGAAAGTGAAGTGGGTGAACAGAGTTCAAGATCCGGCCTAGGTTGTTACATATGTGTTAAATAGCAAAGTAGACTGACTCTCGGGACTTGAATGACAATCAGTCTAAGAGAAGGAAACTGAATTAAAAGCTATGGAAAAGAAGAAAAATAAAGAAAAGGGATCTTAGGAGGGTCACGATCGCCTAAGTCCTGGAGGAACATAGCATTATAAAAAGAAAAAAATGTAGTAATAGTTTTCATACTCTGCCTGGTGGCCTTGGCTTGAGATCAAGTGATAGCAAGTATTTAAGTGCAATCATCATTGTTATTAATCATATAAATTGTTATTACACGTTAAAGATATGTGTGATAGATAGATAGATGAGCAGAATGAGATAGATAGATACGAAGAGACTGAAATAGATAGATAGATTGATAGATAGATATGAACCAAATGAGATAGATAGATAGATAGATAAGCAGAATGAGATAGATAGATACGAAGAGACTGAGATAGATAGATAGATAGATAGATAGATAGATAGATATGAACCAAATGAGATAGATAGACAGATAAATAGATAGACAGACAAACAGATAGATAGATAGATAGATAGATAGATAGATAGATAGATAGATAGATAGATAGATAGATGAGCAGAATGGGATAGATAGATACGAAGAGACTGAAATAGATAGATAGATAGATAGATAGATAGATAGATAGATAGATAGATATGAACCAAATGAGATAGATAGATAGATAGATAGATAGATACGAAGAGACTGAGATAGATAGATAGATAGATAGATAGATAGATAGATAGATAGATATGAACCAAATGAGATAGATAGATAGATAGAGAGATAGATAGATAGATAGATGAGCAGAATGAGATAGATAGATACGAAGAGACTGAAATAGATAGATAGATAGATAGATAGATAGATAGATAGATATGAACCAAATGAGATAGACAGATAGATAGATAGATAGATATGAACAGATTTACATAGATACAGTCTGCGATAGATAAATTGTCGTCTAAATGACGTAAAAATGAAAATAACATTGATTTTTCATTTTAATAGATATATTTACCAAAATTACACAAAAATGTCTTGAAAAATTAAAAAGTAAATTTATTCAATAAAATCGCCATTAGCTTTTTCTGCGAGCTCCAGACGACTTCGGAATCTCCTGCAACTTCTTGATGCTCTCCTTGATTAAGGTTGGTGAATGCTGCCATAATCCTTGCTTTCAGTTCATTTTTGTTGGTCTCTCGCTCAACTGTGCCACACGCATAATAATCAAAGGGGTTGCAGTCTAGGAAATTAGATGGCCAGATGTAAGGAGCGATGCTATCTCAGATATTGTCAGACAACCATTTTTGGGTTCTCCAGCTTGTGTGGTATGGTGCAGAGTCCTGTTACAGCCACCATCTTGACTCAAGGAAGCACAACCTCCATAAGGCACTTGATAGGGGCTTTGATGTTGAGTCTGAGGCACTGTAGGAAGATGAATAGAGGCATAACGTCGCCATCATTAGTTATCACTCCAAACACCTTCGTAATCACCATTAGACTCATCCAACTCTTTCCGAATCCCATGCACTGTCCTGATTGACACCCAAACAATCTGAAATGTTCTTCTTTGAGCTTCCGACGCTAATGCCGTTACCAAATTTCTGGTGGAGTAAATTGCGTCATGGTGCTCCTTTTCTCATTAACGGTGCCCAGCTGACCCTACTATACAAAAACAAACGAGGCGCATGTGCGAAATTAAAAATATAAAATGGCGACAATTTACCCATCGCACCCTATAGGTAGATATTAGCAGGATAGATAGATAGATAGATAGATAGATAGATAGATAGATAGATAGATAGATAGATAGATAGATACGGACAGACTGAGATAGATAGATAGATAGATAGATAGATAGATAGATAGATAGATAGATATCGATCGACCGATCTCACACATTCGTGCATGCATAAGCACATTCATACACATGTCTCACACACGCTCTCTCGGTCTGTCTGTCTGTCTCTCTCTTTCTTTCTTGACACTTTCAGCTGCAGTAGCACACCATCCCAAACAAACTAAACAAAAACTTTAAGCGACTCACTGAACAATCGAATAAACAAAAACTACCGGTAACTAATAATATCAACAACCTAACAACTTCATCAGCAACTAGTGGCATTCCTTACTTTTCTTTATTATCTTTTTTCTTTCTTTCTTTCTTTCTTATTTTTCTTTCTTTCTTTCTTTCTTTCTTTCTTTCTTTCTTTCTTTCTTTCTTTACTCTCCTCTTTTTCTGTTTTTCTTAACTCTACTTTTTATCCTTCTTTTTATTTCCTTCTTTCTTTCTTTCTTTCTTTCTTTACTCTCCTTTGCCTTTCTTTCTTTAGTTTTCTTTTCCTTTTTCTTACTTTACTCGACATTTTCTTTCCTTCTCCTCGTTTCCTTACTCTCCTTCTGCCCCTCATTCCATACTTTTTCTGTTTTTTTTTAACCTATTTTTCTTTCTTTACTCTCCTTTTTTCTTATACTCTTTTCATTCTTTTTACTCTCTTTTATTCGTTCTGTTTTTCTCTCTTTATTTACCCTCCTTTCTTTTTGTCTTTTTTTACTCTCCTCTTTTTTTCATCTTCACTGTTCCTCTTTCTTTCTTTCTTTCTTTCTTTCTTTCTTTCTTTCTTTCTTTCTTTCTTTCTTTCTTCCTTCCTTTCTTTCTTTCTTTCTTTCTTTCTTTCTTTCTTTCTTTCTTTCTTTCTTTTAACACATCAGTTTGACAATTACCGTACCGTTTTCTTCCGCCTTCGCCTTCGCCTACTCCGACACCGACCACTTTTTACTCTGCCTCTTTTTCTCTTGTTGTTTCGTTGGTGGCTTACTTGGTTGCATGCTCGTCATGTGACCCTCCACTCGGTCACATGACATATGTTATTCCCCCGACTTGAAGCGAGGCAAACGAGCCTGTCATAGCAGTGGCAAACTTTGGTCCATTAGAGACACGCATGTATTTGCCTCCTCCGGACTAAAAAAAAAAAAAAAAAAAAGAAAAAGAAAATTATAGATATATATATATTTATATATATATATATATATATATATATATATATATATATATTTATATATATAGACATAATTTTTTAAGAAGTGTAATTTTTTTGCAGTACTGTTTTTCTTTTCAACATCATTAACCCCTGATAACCAAAGGATAATTGTATCTAAACGTTCAAGAAATTCCAAAATCAATATTTAAATATAAGAATAATTTTAAAGAACACGCACATACACACATACACATACATATATACATACATACAAACACACACAGAAATATATATATATAAATAAATATAAATATTTATATATATATATATATATATAGTTGTATATATATATATATATAGAGAGAGAGAGAGAGAGAGAGAGGGAGAGGGAGAGAGAGAAAAGAACAATTTATCTTTTAAACCAAAGACACAAAAAAAATTAAATTGGGGAAAAAAAAAGAATAAATTTCATTAATTTTTTTAAGCACCCATACAGATTTTTTTTCGGAAAAAAAGTAATAACTTAAAAACGGACTGTGAGAAAATTCTTAAGAATGGAATCTCTTTACATTCATATTGCAAATAAACTGGAGAGTGCACGGCGAGGCTCAAAAGGTTTCGGTTCGATCCGTGAAGAGCTTAGGAGCTGGGACGTGTGGCGGGCGACCGCTGCAGAATTCGTCGCTACATTTTTGTTCGTCTTCGCTGGTTGCGCATCTACAACTATACCAAATTCCGATGTTGTAAAAGTAAGTACAAAATTGTTTGCTTCCTTTTTAACCGCTACACACCCCGATTTTATAGGATCAAATTCCTATTCCTCCATCTCGAACATGAAAAAACTTAAAACGGAATCAGTTTTCGCAAGACGAAACATTGCGCTTCTTAAAAATTATCATATTTTCTCTTTGCACAACCATTGATTCAGTTGCGTCTAAATTCTCTATTTTAAAATTAAAAAAATCCTAATACATTAGCTTTGCTTTCGGCAAAAGACACTTTTCAAAGTAATATTCACTTTATAATACGCAAAACCAGATAATTCTATATTTTTAATGTTGGTTTCGCGATGTTTGATCACCTGTTAAATTCTCAATATCCAATCAATAAGAATAACGATATTTATCGCCTCAGAAAGGCAAAAAGGTTACACAGAATATATTTAATGTAGGAATCTAGATTCGTACGTGTAGATAAAGGCCAAGATTGGATTGATCCTGCTGTCTTTCCTGCAAAAGCTTCAAGGCGACCTATGTCAATCTCGTTTCAGCGAAATCAAGACGAGACACCACAGATCTCAATCAAAATAAACTGCATTATTAAAGATATTCGTAGCAGTGATAAAGTGCGCTTTGAAACAAACTTAGAAAATAAATTAATTTCTTAGTTTTCCTTTTGTCTTGCGAAAATCGCTGTATTTCATAACATCTGAAATATTAACCAGAAATCCGGAAAAACTTTTGTAAGCAATGTATTTGTACGCGTTTTGTATGTTTTGACAATTTTTTTTATTGTTCTGTTTAAAAAGCTTCATTTTTTGGTTATTCTTTTTGTGACAAATCCAAGCATTTTTTTTATTTGATATTCAGACATTTTTTGATCCATAGAGGTTTCAACCAAATTGCTTTTTTTTCTTGTGATGCGTTGAGAATGAGTTTTTTTTTTTATTTGAGACTATCTGCTTTCTCTATCTGACTGTCTGTCGCTCCCTCTCTCTGTCTGTATGTCTCCCTCCCTCTCTCTCCCCCCTCTCTCTCTCTGGGTTATTGAAAGCAGAAACTTATTTCAGATTGTAGGGTGTTACTTACAGTACCCGGTATCCCCATCCTAAGTCACAACTCGGTTTGACAATGCTTAACTTCGATGATCGAACGAGAATCGGTGTATAATTCTAAAAGTACATAAGTACATTTTTGCAAAATGTGAAAATTTTTTTAAAAGGGTGATTTTTCATAATACGCTATTTTAGGGCCTAATTTCACAAAATGCTTGCTATATTATTTTTATAGAGATCAGTTTGCACATTTTTAAAAAACGGAAATAACATGCAAAAACACAGATACACACCAATGTCGGGAAATAAGTTTTAAAAACTTAATATTCTTAATTTGAATTTCTCCAGAATCGGGACTTCGTGAAATTGATCTATACATATAGGAGGTAATTTGGATTTTGTGTAATATATATATATATATATATATATATATATATATATATATATATATATGTGTGTGTGTGTGTGTGTGTGTGTGTGTGTGTGTGTGTGTGTGTGTGTGTGTGTGTGTGTGTGTGTGCATGTAAACTATATCATATGCACTTCAAGATGCCTTTTCCTCTTGTGAATGACATTTTTTAATGTTAGCTGTTTATTTCGTATAATAATAGCTTCTAGGGTTTTTAGTTTATCCTTGCACAGGGTGCTGTATAGAATTTTGGTGTTATGCACTAATATATCTCATATGATGATAGTTGTATTTTGGTCATTCGTAATGTACTGTATATGCACGGGTTGCACTGACTTTCGACAGGTGACAAGTCAATTTTCGAGAGAGTGGCGTATGTGTGCCAGATGTAATAATCTAATGCTATTTTTATTAGTAATGTTGCGGATTCAATCTCTCAGAGGACTTGAGAATTCATAAACAATATTATTTTAGAGCGGGTGTTTTTAACGCTCTGTGTAAAATGGTAATGAATAAATGTTTTAAACTTTTTTAATAGATGTTAAATCGTAGGTGTTTGCTACGATCGTTGTGTGATGTGCATTTGCGTATTAAATTTTTTATTGCTTTTTATTCTGTTTATAATTAGTGTGTATCTATTTACAATAGAATAATTTAATGGTTTATTTATTTTTTTTATCTTGCGTTATTTTTTTTCTAAATGTCGTTAAGGTTAATTATATTTTTTCATCGACGACATGGTTATGGAAGTTATTATTGATTAGAGTTTGTTTAATTTTGCTAAGTTCCTTATTGAATAATGTAACGAAAAAAAGATTACTTTGGTCCGATAAATTTTTTTTATAACAGCTATTTTGTATATGAAATCATTCACTTTTGCAGTTGAGTAAACACGACTTTCTACTGGTGGGTTGTTTTATAAAGAGAGATGATAAAGTGACTGTTGGCGTCGACTAAGACGTCGTCGAAAGGGATTTTAATATTAATATTGAGTTCGCGTGTACAGTGTAAGACTGCGTTATTCAATATAGGCTTTTAATGTCGTCGATATGAAAGACGTATATAGGCTTGGTGGAATTAATGAAGACTTCATTTTCTACACACACACACACACACACACGCACACGCACATATATGAAATAATATAGTTTTAAGGTATATTTATAGATAAAGTGCTCAGTATGAGAGATAGAGCGTATGTAAATATAAATATAAAGTGAACATTTAAGTCAACACTCAGAGGCGACAGGCTTTTTTCACGCTAGACCCAATCGTCAGGCCGACGATTGCTTCTAGCATGAAACAGCCTGTCGCCTCTGAGTGTTGACTTCAATGTTCACTATATATATATATATATATATATATATATATATATATATATATATATATATATATATATCACTGCTTACTGTTATATGTGGGGAAAATATGATATATAAACTTTATATGTCAAACAAATGATAGGTAACTGAATGACAAAATGGAAAAACATTATTCCATTAATATGAATTTAGTCCGATGAAGTCATTGTGAGGAACGAAACGTGTTACATAGAATTTTCGCATGTTGTCATTCAATTACCCACCATATGTGCGCGTGAGATAGACACACAGGAAGAGGAACAGGGAAATAGAGTAAATTATGATCATTGCATATAATTATATTCGATCTAACTTTCTCATCTTGGTTACTTATTTATTTCCACAACGTTTCGATCGTGTATATTTCTGTCTTGATCAGTTGTCTGTGGTTTAACTTTATGAAGACACAAAAAAAAACACTTTATGAAAACACAAAAAAAAACGAGTAAAACCACAAAGATTCAAATACCCTCTATAACATAATTCAAACAAAAGACAGTTATATTTTATGCCAGTAATATGTTGACTTCAGTTGACATGATTTTATAAACTTACTCAAAATCCTCTTGACTAATGCTAGTGTCTAACACGAACCGTTCATTATTTAAATAAAAAAAATGGCGGTTGTCGTCAATCCGAATCTATGTGATTAAAACAAGTTGATTCAAGAGCGCATTGTATTGCTCTCTTTTACAAAACCCAAAGTTAATCAAATTTAATGCCTTGCTATTCAGTTCAGTTTTTTTCATTTTGATTGTTATAAATACAACGCTTCAACCGTTGTACCTTCTCGCTTTCTTCAGATGTCTCATATTTCATAGCATTAACATAATTTTGAACCGAGCACCTTATTCAGTGAGAGTAGATTGTTTTCATGGTACCTTTTCTGCTTAGGGGAGATAACTCGTATCAATTAATATCCACGGGTCTTATTCACCTCTGCGTCGGCTAAGGATCGAATTTACTAATAATGTTCACCTGGCTAACTCTGTAAAAATCCCTGTTACAATATGTTTTCGAGTGCATCTGACAAACCTCGAGTATATTCTTTAAACGTATGGCCCCCGTAGAGAAGACCCCCTTTAGGCAATGTAAGGCAATTAGGAGTAATGTGTCCAATGAATGTGTCCAACTGATCTCTATAAAAATGTGTCCAACCCCTCTCTATAAAAAGCCTGATGTAACCTCAAGGGTTACCGCTTAGACATTTTGTGCACTGTACATAATGAGCGACTCGGCACCCCGACGTGTTGTAATGGTTAACAAGCTTGGCTCGCTAGGTCAGTTACTGAAGAGTGAATTCAATCCTTGCTGGGTGCTCCATACATTTGGATTTGTGCCACACCCAAGCCACGCTTAGAAAATCATTTGAACACTTCAATGTGGTGTAATGGTTAACAAGTTTGTCTCGCTAGGTCAATTACTGAAGAGTGAGTTCAATCCTTACTGAGTGCCCCATACATTTGACCTTGTGCCACATCTAAGATACGCTTAGAAAATCAATGATACTTCGACGCAGTTTAATGGTCAGTAAGCTTGTCTCGCTAGATCAGTTACGTCATTGGGTGTTACACATTTTCGGCATTGTGCCACATCAAAGCTACGGCTAGAAAATCATTTGGGGCACTTCGACATTGGGTAAATGGTTTGCAACCTTGTCTTGCTCGGTCCCCACTAAGTGCTCTCCACATTTGGCCTTGTGCCACACTTAGAAAATCTTCTTGAGCACCTCGACTTAGTGTAATTGTTAACAAGCTTGTCTTGCTAGATCAATTACGACAGAGTAGTTCGATCTTCACCGGGTACTCCATACTTCGGCCTTGTGCCACATTTAAGGTACGCTTAGAGAATCACTGAGCGACTCGGATAAATGTTTCAATATAATATAAAAGTATTCTCATAATTAAAGTTTATGTTATTTTTGTTATTTTTCACAACTGACTTTCTTTTCAAATAAGGTTTAATTATTTATTGATTTACACTCACTCTCTCTATCTCTCTATCTCTCTCCTTTGTGGGTTATTGAAAGCAGAAACTTATTTCAGATTGTAGGGTGTTACTTACAGTACCCGGTATCCCCATGTTGTTCCCCATCTAAGTCACTACTCGGTTTGACAATGCTTAACTTCAGTGATCGAACGAGAATTGGTGTATAATGCTAAAAGTACATAAGTACATTTTTGCAAAATGTAAAAATTTTTTAAAAGGGCCATCTTTCATAATACACTATTTTAGGGCCTAATTTCACACAACGGTCTTTGTATCAAAATACTGGCTATATCATTTTTATAGAGATCAGTTTGCACATTTTTAAAAGCGGAAATAATTTTCGCTATCCTCCCAATCCATGTTCTGCCACCCATTTACACAAACACGTTACGTAAGTTACTCGCTGCTTTCTTCTGTCCCTCTTGCCATCAATATGCTTTGTGAGTGTTAAATTCTCCAAGCCATCTTTCCTCATTATGTGTCTTAGAAATTAGCGCAAGGTAAAATTAAGAATAAAAATGAATAATACGTTGTCTTTTTTTTAATTGGGGCCTACCTTCACAAAAATTATTTCTAACAGAATATTGTCTATCTCATCCTTATAAAGATCAGTTTATTTAAAAAATGGAAAATCATTGTGGTGTTGTGTTCAACAAGCTGGGCCTGTTGATTATTATTATTAGTGAGTTTGATCCTCACTAGCTGCTCCAAACTTGTGGCTTTGTGCTAAAACCTATCTACAGCTAGTAAATAATAATGTCGCCTCATCGTGGTGTTGTGGTCAACAAGCTGGAATTGTAGATCATTAGTATTGATTTCTATCCTCACCGGGTGTCTGATACTTGTGGTCGTGCACCCAAATGAAGTCAGGTTTCTTATATAACAACCTGTTTTATTTATTCATTTTTTTTCGTTCAAAGAAATCTTGTTTTATTTCCACTCTGCTTCTTACATAATTTGATGTGTCATTGTCTGTCTACTCAAGTGAAGAGATAAAATCAGTTATTTCTCATATTTAAGTAGACACAACATTTATTTATTAAATAAATAATATGGCGTGTCTACTCTAATATGAGTATCCACTAAAAATAATGTTTAAAGTGTTTAAAATCTGTTGTATTGATAAATATACTACCTTAAAAAGATATATGATATATTGAATATATATATGCATATATCGACATATATATATATATATATATATATATATATATATATATATATATATA